CCTCGAGGTACCGTGTAGTAGTAGGGGGTATTTTGCTCTCGGTGAGAGGCGGATGGCTCCGCCCAATCGTCCCCCTTCTCAACTGCGTGAGAAAGCCTCGCCTCTTGTAGGCGACTGTTTTTCTCTTCTGTGTCCAGAGAAGCATGGCCAGAAGAGCTAGACTCGAAATCGTCCTCTGACGAGTCCGAAGAGGACGACTCCTCCCCTCTCCCGGAGGGGCCCGCCTCCTCTCCTTTAAAAGGAGCAGGAGAGAATGTAGAATTGTCAACTGTAAAATGGGAAGGGGTCACTTTGACTCCTCCCTCAGAACTGCCGGTTTTCAAGCCGCTTTGTTTCACTTCCACATCTGGCGCCTGGTCAGATGTTTCACTAATCGGCACCCTGTGGGAGGAGCCGTCTGAGTTTGAGATCCTGACAGTCTTTTTTGTTCTGGCCATCATGCTCTGCATAGACACAGATACAGTCGGACTTTGTATAAAGGGCAAAGATGGGTCCAGAAAAGGGCAGGCGGCACTCCTAGTCCTAGATTCAGCCGTCCCCGGTGACCGGCTGATCACTAACCTAGGTCGTGTCGTGTGCTTCCGTGGTGCCATTTCAAAAAAGAATAAAGTAAAGAGAAAATTAAGAGTAAGAGAACCGACGGTTACCTGAACGAGTGACGATTGATGAAGTTGTGAAAATCCTTTGCAGTCGGCTTGTCAGAGCAGGCGGTAGGCAGAAAGGGTCCAAAATGTCAGAGCAAGTTCAGGGGTCCGAATGTTCTTTCACAAAGTTTTCAAGTGTGAAAATGACCGAAGTCAACACTCCTTTATATAGGCGAAGTGAGAAGGCGAAGGGTCACTTCCAGAATTCATAATTTTGGCGGGAGAATCTCTCGGCCTCTCGCCGAGTGACACCTGTAGCAGGCCGTCGCCTGTTACAGGGCGATACCTGTCACAGGTAACACGTGACCAGTCACGTGCCACCTGTGAGGGGCAAATGATTAGGGGATTTTTCCCCACCAATCACCATCTGACAAGTGGACCAATCAGGTTCCGCCATGTGTCCGTCACATGGGCCAATAGGAGCCTGCCACGTGTCAAGCAATGATCCGTCCACTATGGACCAATTACGACACGACACGTGTCCTTCCCATGACACCTGGGATAACCGGTCACCTAGGCCCAACTTCCGAGGGAAGCCCAATCAGCCCAAGGTTAACCTAAACCTAGATTGACACGTTTCCCGAGGTTATAAATACCTCCCTTAATCCTCATTAAGGGGGGGGGGAACGCATAAAAGGCAGATTACACACATTAAACACTCTCACCTTGAGAGACTCAATCACTTTAATTTCCGCATTAATTACTCCTTAATCAAGTACTAACTTGACCGTTGGAGGCGGAGCTCCCACCACAAGGAGTCTCCGTTGTTTTGCAGGTACAGGCGTCCGGTTCCAGTCTCGGAATTGTAACTCTTCCGCAAGACATCAGAAAACCCCGAAACAGTTGTCATTGTTTTCAAATTTACCACGTAAAAAAAATTATGAAGTACGTCTTTTAAACCGTCTAATATAAAAACGAAATTATTCAAAGTATCACCCGGGGCAAAGCCCGGGCCACACACTAATTTAGTTGTAATAATTAGTTAAATCCGTGCATCTATTGCACAAGGTTTAACCTAATTTTAACTATAAATCGACAAGTATAAAAGTCAAAATATTGCAAATAAAATGAAACGCTGAAATTTGGAATATTCCTTGTGTATGCTGATTTCAATATAAGGTGTTCCCCATGTATCATAAATGTTTATAGGGCCCACAATTTTTCTGAGAAAATTACTTTATGCCCTTTCATTTTCATTTTTCATCAATTTCAATCCATCCTTCCTCTTCCACAATCTGGAAAGATATTTTAAAAGGCAGAAATATTCTTAGATAGGGCTTGATCTGCACCATTGGTAATGGTCGTTCAACCTCTCTTTAGTATCACACTAGGGTGGGGGAATATTACTACTCTCCCCATTCCCCCTGATCTAGCTCACTGGTGTGTAAGTAATATTATTCACTTTGGGAAATGGACTCTCTGTGAAATTGCTCATTTGCTTCCCTCTTATATTCAACAAAAAATCCTAGCCACCCCCCTTTCTACCATTGCTTTTCCACCCGATAGAATAAGGTGGAGACACTCCAAAAATGGTGATTTCAGTATCAAATCTTGCTTCTAATTCCCTCAATTTCAATTGGAAGAAAATTTGGCTCATTCAAATTCCCTTCAAGTATAAAATGCTAATTTGGAATGTTGTTCACTCAATTCTCCCTGTTGGTGTGCGTTTGAAACAAAAAATTCCAAATTTCGACCCGATTTGTGTTAGATGTGGTGGTGCTGATGAAAATCATCTCCACCTTTTTAGGGATTGTCATTCTTCCTCGGGTTTTTGGAAGATTGTGTTTAGTAAAATTGATTGTGCTAAAGAAATTATCTAAATCAATTTCAAAACAATCAGTGGTGGGATTGAGTTTGTTTTAACCTCAATCAAACCAAGGATTGGAAAACATCTTTGCAATTGGTATTTGGCATTTGTGGAATTACAGGAACACAGCAGTCTTTGAGAAATCAATGAGCAGAATTCAAAATTTATTTGCAAAATATTGCAGACAAGAAATGGAATCCCGATAAATTCTGATGCTCCAACAATGTGGAAGATGCCTCAAATGGGGTATAAGAAACTGAATACTGATGGAAGCTAGAAGGGTGAAAACAAGGCTGGTGGGGGAGGTGTAATTCAAAATGATGATGGTTCGTGGCTGGTTGGGTTTACTCTGAAGCTGAGAGCCATTTCCCCAGAGGCTGCTGAATTGGTAACTATAAGGGAAGGTTTTATTGCTGCCAAAAATTTCAATCTGCACCACCTTGAACTGGAGACAGATGCTGAAGCTTTATGCAAGATGCTGGAAAATGCCGAAGAATTTCTCCATCATGATTATCCAAGATATCAAGAGAATGCTTGAAGAGGATTGGATTGTTGTCTTTCTTCACGCCAAACGTCCTGCCAATGCTGTTGCTCATGGCCTTGCCAAGATGGGAGCACAAATGACAGATGATGATCTGAAGTACTACTACTACCCTCCAAAACCTGTGGCTGATGCTTTCGCCAAAGATCCAAAACGCAACTAATCTCAACTGTATGAAGAAGCAAGCTTCTGGGAACATGCCTGATTGCAACATTTCTGTTTACGGCTATTATTAACAACTTTTATGCTTTCTGTTCTAAGTTAGGAGATGCTAGCCTACATCTTAATAGCAACTCCTTTTATCTCTACTTTTGTACTAAGAACTGCAGTTCTCTACCTATTAGCCTTTAGGCTTATATAAATCTTCCTTGTTGTGAAAAAAAAACTTAATAAAGTATAATATGGTGATTATGAAGCAAAACAAGATTGAAAGGAGTATCTCACATAATGTGAAAAACTTATATATACTCGTATTAATACTAGACATGAGTTAAAATGGAAACTCAAATTGACTTGACTCGAAATTAACCCAAAAAGCCCGAAACTTGAATTAAATTTTCTCCAAACACATCCTCAATTGACTCCAAAAAAAACAAAATCTATTGGAAAAGTACTGTATGAGTCTATTCGATTATCATGAGATCATCTCTCCGAAAAAGTTTTATTTAAGTGATATGTGCAAGGGAAATACAGTGCAAAATCTATTTAGAGCATTCACTACAATGAGGAAAAAAAAAAAAAAAAACTTCCTCATTATCTCTCTATCCACTTTCTCTCCCCTCTTGTCATGAGCATTTTTGTGATTATATTTTTATCCCACAAATGATAAAAAAAAAAAAAAAAAAAAATCCTCACCGTTCTCTCTCTTACTTTTTTCAATATCCCACCAACATTTCTCTCTATATACATCACCATATTCATATTAATTTTTTATTTTTTTAATTTATTTTTTTGAATAGCTTCATATTAATTATTTTGTGTAATGAAGTAATACTATTATAAATCATGTTTTTGAGCAATTAAAATCTAAATATATTTAAATAATGATGTAAATAATAATTAGTAAAATTGTCAATATATTGTTTAAGAAAATTATTGTTAAACTTTATGGTTTTATTGTCATAAAAATGACAATAATATTCTTAAACAGTGGATTTAATTAGTAAGCTACTTTTTTTTTTCTTTCACACCATTCAAATCCTTTGGATGGTTCGGTATTCTATGTGCTTTCAAAAAACGGCATGGTGGAGAAAGTCAAAAAAGATTTAGCAGTTTGTTTTTAATGAGGGTCCAATGTTTTAATATTCATCAATTTTTTTGCTCATCCTATGAGCATTTTGGTTTTGCTCGTGAGCATTTCTCAAATTGCTCATTGATGTAAGGAAAATTTTTAAATTACCACCTAAAAATGTAACCATTTTCGAACTAACTATCCGTTTAATTTTTTTTTATTATTTTAAATTACCACCCTTTAAATTAAATAAATGCTTAGATTACCACCTATTTAAAAAAATCCGATGGATTTTCCGTCTATGGGCCCCACCCAACGCTTATTTTGACCCTTTTGATTGATTTTTTCCCCGATTTTTCTCTTTAAATTTTAACTTCAATTCACATTTTTCTCTTTGAAATTTGGTATAATTTGGTGAAAGAAATGTGAATTAAAGTTTAGAGAGCGTTTTAAAAGAGAAAAATCGAGGAAAAAAATCAGTCAAAAGGGTCAAAATAAGTGTTAGGTGGGGCCTACATACGAAAAATGGGTGGTAATCTGAGCATTTATTTAATTTAAAGGGTGGTAATATAAAATAAAAAATTAAACGGATGGTTAATTAAAAAATGGTTACATTTTTGGGTGGTAATTAACCTTGATGTAATAACTTTATTGTGCTTTTTGCACAATATTTTTGTTCATGAGCATTTTTATGCTCATTTTAGTGAATGCTCTTAAGGATAGTAACTTTGATGAAGAAATCTTTGTTGGATTGTATTATTTGTATGACTTTTTTTTTTTTTTTTTTAATGGATTGTTAAATTAAAAAAAAAAAATTAAAAAAATAAATAAAAACCTATCAAATTGGATTTAGCTTTAATCTCATTCTAAGAGGTGTTGTACCTCATCCGCTCCCGCTAATTGTTGATTAACTACTCTCTCATTCGCTCTGTTTTTGAAGCTATCATCTTCTTCATTTTCTTCCTAAACCCTTAAACCACTAAACCCATTTCTCTCTTTCTCTCTCCTCCAAACCCCAGATATGCTGACCGCCATTTGAGCTCCTTTGGAGGTTGCTACTTCAGGCTTTGCTCTTATGGCCTCTCTCTCTTTTACCCAATTTCTTTCTTTGCCCAGGTTTCTTCATTTTCCTTCTTTTAATTCAATTGTTTTTGCTAGTTATTATTTGACTCAATTTCATTGTTTTCTTGTATGTATATGTTATTTATTTGATTAATTGCTATTTGGGTTTGGCTGAAATACTTGAGGGTTTTGTGGGATTGTCTGATTGCAGAGGAGAATTTTGTTTATTATCTGTGTTGCTTGACTAGTGATTATTGCTTGATATGCTAGTTTTTCGGGACTCGAATGTAAGAGATTGTTCTCAATTTTGGATAATTGTAGTTGAACAAGGAATGTCATGTTGTTACCCAAATGTAGCCTATGAAGTTTTAGCCTAGGGTTATATGTTGGATGGAGGGTGTTGTTATATGTTTTCGTGCTCCCGAATGAATATGCACTTTATCTGAAACAAACATGACCCTTATCCATAATGAATCTGAGCTCAACCATGTTTGTTTGTGGAATTAGAGCATATGCATATGGAGTACCATTAACATGGTGCTCCCATAAAAATATGATGGTGGAAGCGTATGCACAGTGCTCACTGTGCATCCGCTGAACATCAAGCCTAAAATCAAAGAACTTAAGACTAACTGACTCCAATGAACATAAGAGCTATGACTAAGATGATGTTAGTTTACATTTCTTCATATCAATATATATAGAGGGAATCGAGACGTAGTGAGCATGAGTGAGTAGGGGAACATTAGCAGTTCCTGCTACGTTTCTAAATAATTACCACGAATATGCAAGCAGCATGTTTGCTATTGAAACCCCGAGCAAGTACTGTATTTTTTGGCTTCACATACTTGCTAGATTTACTAGCAGGTTTTGATTCTGCATTAAATAATTAATGTATTACAAATTAACATTGTGCAAGTCCATATGGTTCAAGATACATTTATTCATGGTAAGTCTGATTAGTGCTCTTATTCCAAACTGTTTAGTGCTGCATTTCCTCTCAATTTTGGCAATATCAGTGTGATGAGTGCCTTATATAGTTGGCGAAAAAAATTTCAGGTGGAACTATAAAGCACCATTCTTAGCTACTGTAGAATTCATGCTAGTTACAGAACATAGATTACCGAATAGATGGGTTTTGTCAGCAACATCTAAAAAAGCAATTGCAGCATCTTTAGCTCAAGACGAGGCATCTAAGGAACCAGAGGGAACAAAAAAGACTAAGAGCACACGAGGTAGAAAAAAGAAAAATATTGAATTGCAGGATGATGATTCTAACCTGTCAGTCAGTGGTTCTATTTCAGAACCTGAGGTCTCTGATAAAGCATCAGCTAGCAATTCTGAGAAACCCAAGAGAAGAACTACAAAGAAAGGTATACGACTGTGTTATCTAGCTTATTGCATGATATCTTTCAACTTTATATGATATGAATGCGAAGTTATGGTACTTAAGGCTGAAATGAAATTTTTTTCAGCTGTGTCTGCAACTTCCAGTACGGAAAAAGTGAAGACAGAAAAGAAGACAAGGGGGAGGAAGATCAAGGAAGAGATCAGTAAGGTAGATGACCATGAAAGTGAGATGGAATTCACTGATTCAGAGGGGGTCGTCTATGTTGCAGATCAAGAAAAGGAGAATGATGACATAGATTTGGAATTCGAAAAGGGTGATGGTGAGGATATAAGCTTCACTTATGGTTGGCCCCCTCTTGTTTGTTGCTTTGGAGCAGCACAGCATGCATTTGTGCCATCAGGAAGGCCTGCCAATCGGCATATAGATTATGAAATTCATGATGCACTTAAAGATGCATTGTGGGCGCCTGAAAAGTTTATTAGGGCTCCTGGTAGCTCAGCAGGTGGTGTTGCAATTGCTCTAGCATCCTTGGGTGGTCGAGTTGCTTTCATGGGTAAACTTGGGAATGATGATTATGGGCAGACCATGCTGTATTTCTTAAATGTCAAAAATGTTCAAACACGGTCAGTTTGTGTTGATGATAAAAGACCGACAGCTGTGTCACAAATGAAGATTGCTAAGAGGGGTGCTTTACGAACGACCACTGTCAAACCTTGTGCAGAGGATTCTTTGGCAATATCAGAGATCAATATTGATGTGTTGAAGGAGGTAATGTCAGTATTTTGGTTTTTATTTATATTAATTTTTAACTGTTTTCTCTAAGTTCATACATTAAAGTCCTTGTTTTAAAGATTTTTTTAAAATATACATAAGTTTTCCTTACAGTGCTGCAAAGTATAAGGATTAAATTGAGAAATATACATAGAATTTGCATTCCAGTTCAGATTTCCTTACACCTCTACTACTTTTTATTTTTTTTATTTTTTTATTATTCCCCCCCCCCCCCTCTTCTGGAAGCAGCTTATATATTGTTTTTCATACTGAAGGTACGAGCTGTGTCTTATAAGGAAAATGTATTAATGAAAAATCAGAAAAGGGGAAATTATTAATCAGAAGAAATATCTCAAGCATATATAGAACCTTGTGAAATCAATAAGAGTTTAAAACAAACAATGTAGATCAACTTATCAAATTCAGAATTCTTTTTAATTTAAAATTAAGGTGTCCTCTGCTGATTATTTGGTGTAAGAGATACTTGATGGGGCATACTGTTGGGATTCAAGGATAGAGATCATGAAGCGTCTTTCTACCATACCGCTCTCTCCCACCATATCCCATTAGAATACCTATTCTTTCCTCCTACTGATAGAACTGCAAGTCTGCAACAAGGCCCAATAAAGGATAATGGAATATAAAGAAACATAACTTGAGCAAGCTATTACCTAAAATTAAACTTTTTTGTGCCATCTTTTTTATCCTCAAAACCAAAGGGAGACCCTGATAATGTTAAATTTTTCTTGAGCTATTACCTAAATTCGTTAACTAAGCTTTCTAAAATATTTAGCAGAAGGTTAAAATCATGGTAGTAGTAGGTGTGTGAGTGTGCCACTAGTGTATCTTGTAGCTAATTATCTCGACATAGTAATATTAATCTTAATGAAGTATGGTTGTGGTGCATATATGACTCATTATCTTCCATACTTCTGTACCAAACACCTGGCCATTTTCACACCTAGTTTATGCAGCCTGAGGTGGTATGGTCTAGGTTAATCTTCTTCTTTATTAAAAATATTATTATTTTTTCTATGTAATGCGCAAGTGTGTACATGAATCTATTCAGTGTGTTCTTGCTTCTTGTTTGAGTATTCTATGCTGAGTGCTATATAGGATGTACTGTTGAGATTAAATTCTATTTTTATATTAATGCAGGCGAAGATGTTTTACTTCACTACAACTTCCTTGCTTGATGCTAATATGAGGAAAGCGACTATACGAGCACTTAAGCTATCAAAGAAATTAGGTGGTGTCATCTTTTATGATCTTAACCTCCCTTTACCACTTTGGCACTCCAATGAAGAAACCAAATCTTTCATTCAGCAAGTATGGAGCCTTGCAGATGTCATTGAAGTCACAAAACAAGAACTTGAGTTTCTTTGTGGAATTAAGCCTTCTGAAGAGTTTGACACCAAAAATAATAAGAAATTAAAATTTGAGCATTATGAACCTGATGTTATAGCCCCTCTATGGCATGAGAATCTCAAAGTTCTGTTTGTGACTAATGGGACTTCTAAGATTCACTATTACACCAAAGAACATAATGGTGCTGTTCTTGGAGTGGAAGATGCTCCAATGTCTCCTTTCACTCAGGATATGTCGGCATCTGGAGATGGCATAGTGGCAGGTATATCTACTGAAACTTGAATTTTCGGCACATGAATGCATCTTTTCTTCTTTAAAACATTAAATGCATTATGTACTTAAATGAAGCTGCCTTTTGGCCAATTTTTAGCAGTAGCTCTGTTTAATTTTTGTTGCTGACTAGCATCAGTCAAGTAGCTTATGGGTGAGACTTTAATTCATATTTACAGCCCAAAAAAAATCAGACACAGCACTGTGCCTCTGCAGCCCTAAAGGTCATGTCAATCTAGACCAATTTTTTAAGCAATTATAAAAAGCCATCCATGTATTCATCCTCAAGTAGCTCTCTTATGTGATCTTGTGAGTTTCACATTTTTAAGACATGCCTTTGTGCAATAATTCATTCCCCGGGATGGTGTGGGATGAAATAAATGTTTGCATATGTGAGTATTGACTAGGAAAAATCTTTATCAAACACAGCCCCCCTTGCTACATATTTATACAAGACATGGGTAGGAATCTTGATGCTAACTAAGTACCCTACCAGAAAATGGGAGAGAGATGCATCTCTCAGGTTAATACTACTTGGGTTCGATGCAAATCATGCCAAAACCGTATCATAGATTTGAAAGTTTTAAGATGTGTTGTTGCGCCCTTGTACAACACTATAGTTTCATTGGCCTTCTGGCTATCTTTCTGCAGTACTGTCATTGGGTCTTGCTCCAAACAAAAAATGGTTGATCCTTATCTTTAGGTTTTGGCATTAGTAGGCATTAATTGTATTTTCTGATTTTCTGGACAAATGCTTTATATTTTATCTGCCGTCCTTGTTTCTGCTGTCTCATATGATATCAGTTATCCTTTGTTGATAGTGTTTTTACTATGTCTTTTCAGCTCTCTTGAGGATATTGACAGTGCAACCACATCTTATAACAGACAAAGATTACTTGGAGCGTGCAGTCAAATATGCTGTTAATTGTGGAGTAGTTGAACAGTGGATTATAACTCGGCAACAAGGCTTCCCTGCTAAGGAAGGCATGGAAGAAGATGAAGAAGATTCCATTCCCGACCTTAATGGCATTAGGTCTATAACCGAGAGAGAATTCCGAACAGTAATGCCTACTCTCAGTTGATCAAATTCAGTCTCTACCATAGGGATCTATTTTGTTAGCTTAGACATGATCGAATCTACATTCTTCACATCCTCTTTAAGGTGAGATTATATCCCCCACCCCAGTTGTCCCCCCTAACTTATTTACCAATTATTCATCACTTCTAAGTTCTAACGCAAAACTTACATTTAAATGTAGGTTTTTTTTTTTTTTTTTACAGTGGTAGAACTTTTCGTCCCAAAACTCGGCCGTAACAAGGTTAAGCACCATGCATAGCTGGGATGAACAGAGATGCTTCTCAGGAATCATCATGCCCTTGCATTTCTATACTAGGATAGGTAGATGGATAATATATTTGAGTCACCTTATCTTGTATTGGGATTTTCTGAATATTAATTTTCCCATAAAAAAGGAGTAACAAAGCAAAGAAATGGTCCCCCAACAAATTGTCCAATCATCATTCTTATCCTATGTCACCTGAATTATCGGATCATCAAATCATACATAGTATAACCCTAAATATTCACAGTTTTCTTGTCCTAACAACTTACTTTTGAGTCAGATAATTTTAATCTTATGTTAAAATTTATAATGTCAATTTTTTTTTAAAAAGTGTCAGCTTTTACTGGAGGACCCGGTGGGTTTCTCTTTAATGTGGATTGTGGACCTTTGAAAATGAAGATTAGTGATTGCGTAATATGCTGTTTAACAAAATTATTAATCTCTAATTACTTATTATTGCTTTGGTTAGTGGGTTTACTGCTTTGGAGACAATGCATATTGGATCTGCTGCAATAATTAATGGGGATTAATCTTATCTTTCATTTTTATTTCTAGGTAATGCGACCCAACTCAATCATTTTTCTTGGTAGACATCACATGAGGGAACAATACTATATTTGATTAAGATGCTAATTATTATGTAAGGTTCTTGGGGAGAAAAAGGGTAATGATATACTACCTCTTGTTATTATAACTCGCAACAAATGAATATTTTATGTCTCATAAATAATGCCCCTTTGTTGCAAATAATAAGAACCGGAGGTAATAAAAAGGGTTAGAAATTGGAGTTTTCTTGTCATATGTATGTGTGATCATATGCGTACAAAGTAGGTACATGGAATGCGCACCTTATGAACTTGTGTAAACATAATCCTTATGTTTATGTTATTTGTTCTTGAGTACCTATGCAAGAGACTATAAATCTAAGAGTCGGGACTCTTTCATTCGCGACAACTTTCCAAGTTCTCAAATCTGAAAGAAGTGTGAATTAACCATACCTTTATGGTCATTCTTAGTATCAATTTTGTCAAAAGTCTACCATAGACACTTATAGTGAAATGAAGAGTCCGAGTAACATAGTTATCAAGCACACCTAATATGTATTGCTTGATACCTAATATGTATTGCTTGATAGATTTAGCTTTCACATATGCAATTAACGATGATTGCAAAATTAATGTGACACATATTATCTTTAACTTTTACACGTTAAAGGAATCTGAGATGCCTTTTGGTCAAGTGTTCTTAATCATAATGCATAAACTTCAATGGTAGGTTGGAATCTTCATCTTAAAAACAATCATTACTGGCTCAAAACAATCAACAAGGATATATTTGATTCCTTTTAATTTTTTTAAATCATTTTCTTAGGACTAACAAAGTTACAAAACAACCACCAAAAACTAGATTTTAGCATAGTTTTCGCATTGGTGTGACAGCAGAAGAATTCTGTAGGCTAAGGTTACCAGTTCATGTAAGATGACACTAAAACAGATTAACAGCTGACAGTAAGAAACTAAATTTCTTGACAAAACTAAATTTGCTCCTCTTTGCTGCAAAAATATACACCAATGTCGAGGAAAGAGATGATGATGGTGACGATAAGTCGATAATGAGTGCAATTATACAATGTAAACCATCTAAAAGCTGCCTATTCACAAAACAACCAATCCTACCACTTGAGAAGCACAAAAAGAATTAAGAAACCAATCTGCAAGCCTCCAGTTATTACGCTCTTCTCAGCCAAAAAACAACTATCCAAAATGAGGGGTCGAAAGCATAGGTTAATCACACGAATGAGTTGATCACTACTTGGAAACTGCAACTCCGTCAAGTTTCAGGGCAGCTTGTTGATCCAAAAACCATACCAGCTTCCCTGTTGTTGGCTCCACCATCCTTGCTGGCAATACGGAGTTGGGTCCCACATCAGCCGCATTGATTGCCTGGCGTACAGCCTCTGCTTTCTGACCACCAGTCACCACCACAGCCACATTGGATGCTGAGTTGATGACAGGCAATGTAAAAGTGATCCTCTCAGGTGGAGGCTTGGGACAGTCAGTGATGAAGGTAACCCATTCGTCCTTCACACCCAACACAGAGTGATCAGGGAAGAGAGAAGCCACATGTCCATCAGGTCCCATTCCAAGAAGAATGAGATCAAACTTAGGGCAATCATTGATATCAGAAACGCTAATCAACCGAGTTTTTACTAGCTGCCGGATACCGAATTCATACTCACTTGCAGCATCCTCTGCAGATAGAGAATCATTGATGGAGTGCACATGGCTAGGAATAACAGGCACCTGAATTTTACAAGGAAGAACAAATCATTAATTAAAAAGAAGAAAATTTCAGTACATATTATAGCCAGCTTAGATCATTTTTAGGTCATGATTTTCAACAAAGTATATGTCTCATCATGTAAAGAATTTTGATCCTTCAGGAGCTTTATAATCTTCATTTTCACAACCAAATGTATCGAGACTACGAGATTATGATACTAATTAAAACAATATCATCATCTATTCATCTACGATTATATTTAGATGTCACGAATACATATGTAACAAGCATTCAATTAGGATGATTCACTGTCAACAATTTTGCTCAGATATATCAGCAAAGCCCTTGGAAGGATAGGTTTGGCAGCATATGGGAAACTGAACGAATGCAATGGAGAAACGTAGTAAATTCAAGAGGTCTCTCAGCTCCATTTCTAGAGTAACTCATAAGAATGAGGATAAGATCTGAAGACATGAAAGGGTCCAAGACTAAGCTTAAACTTCAGTCCTGTCATCTCAATATCCCATCAAGCGAGAGTAGTATGGACTGTGGTGTTTTGACAACATTTCGAAGACTTGACATATGATTTACAATAATCATATAATAATTTAGTTAGTCTAACAATTGTTCAATTAATGTCACCATCTTCACTTAACCTAACCACTGTTCAAATTTCTCACCTAACATGTAGACCCATGATAGGAATCAAGTATACAAGTGGCTTACATGTTGCTGATGCAAGCATAGTACATTCTATAAATGATCTAGTTTAATTGGAATTCCTCTAATTAAGAAGGATTCAATAATCCTAAAGTCATCGATCATAGGAGCATCTAGCCAACCACCAGATCAGTGAATAAATTTAACTAAATGAAAACAATAAACAAACCACCTAAGGAATCTCATTTTTAGTGACCTTAAAACTAGTAATATAATAGGCCATCATTTTTTCTAAAGACGGATCAGGAGGCTTAAAAGAAAAGTAATAAAGAGTAAAAGACCCTCGAAAAAGCACATTCAGAAATAAATACAAGTAATTTAAAGGAGAGCGGGAAGGGAAAAAGTCACCTGCAAATGAAATGCCCTTTGAATTAGCAGAAACTATAACAAAACATACCTCATGACAACCAAAATCAGCCACATACAAGAGTAATGCAACAGTATACACTTTTACCAAAAAAATTGTAGCATATAAATTCATACATGGCCTTTTCCTTACCCTTTCATCCATTAAAGCGAACTATACCCAGATGGGTGTCATCGGGTCAAGCAATTAGTATTGTCTCATCTCATAAATTAAAAGTCAGAAAACAGCATCTACACATTAACTTGATAGGGGATACAAAACAAAATCTGTATTGACTAACAAGTAAAAATGTTGTTAATAACCTAAATGACAAGCTAACAAAGTACACAGAGTACAAGATAGTAAAGGAACCACAAATTAAGATAGGAAGTAATGGACAAGATAGGTATGCAGCAAGAACTTCAACTCAAAAACATAATTGTAAGTTTGTAACCAACAATAAACATTACATGCTCACGAAAGTAAACATGTCTGATGGGAACTTCCACTCGGGTGAAGTATAAAAACAGAAAATGGAAAACAAGTTTGACCTAAGAAGATTCACATGCTCAAAACATAATGCATACAAAAGAAAACACCCAATCAACTGTGTTTCAAAGAAGGCATTTTTTCCTGAGTCACAAGCTCGTATCCTTTCCTCTTTTAATAACTAATTTTGTTTGCAAGTTATTTGGATGTTTTGAATTACATATTTGGGTATAGCTAAATCAACAAAAGCACTGCCCACAAGGCCACAAACCCACAAACATAAAATAGGGAGAAATCACATCTATGAACAAAAGGCTCGTATAAAACAAACTTGTCACTAAGTTGACAGATAAAAGTCATAAAACCTACAGATCAGGGAACTTACAGTAACATTTTCCTAACTATTTGTTAAAAATGCTTATAAATGAATAAAGGTGCCGAATCTGACATTTTTGTCAAGAATCATATAACCTTTCAGCATCAAGGAACTATAGATGTGAATAAGAACTGCAAATGACATCATAAGAAACCATCCTCTTCCTTTCTTGCCCCACCTTTCTTTTCTGATTTCAATCACATGCTAGCTAGCTGTTCTCTTCTTACCGCGAATATACTAAAATCAAGATATGTTAGGAGCATTCAATAACTTGCACAATTACTAGACACGAACGTAGAAATCATACAGGCAGGCTTCAAAATTCAAAATGAAGCTCCAAGGTCATAAAACAGATACAATAACAATAAAAGAAGACACCAAGGAAATTCATGAATCTGCTTCAAAACAGGGCAAAACACATTCAATTCAGAAAGTATAGAAGCTATAGACGAAAGTTAAGAGGCCGAAAAACGGACCTTGGTCAAGAGACCATCCTTTGCTAGCTTGTAATTACTGTCAGGATGGCTCTTTGCTACCACACGCTCATCAGTCCAAAAAATATACCACTTAACCCAATCAATAGTTTTGTTATAAGGTGCTTCAGAGAGCTTTCTGTTTTGACACAATGATACAAGTCAAGACACAAATCATTAACCAAAAGGCATGAATAATGTAAAAAATGAGCAATAAATAGATTGAATACCCCAATAAGCCAATGAGAGAACCACCAGATAAAGCAATGGTAAAAACGCCTCGCTCCTTTACTGATGCATCTGATAATTCAGATATATACTCTACCAAGTCAGTGCTTAGATCATCTAAACTCTCATGAATCCTTAACTCTCCTCTACTTGTCTGAACTCGAGGAAACGCCATGCTTTCCTTTACACAACAAATTTGATGAACAAGTTCTGTTTCAACAAGAAGATATACTCTTAAGTTTTAATCAACACCAATAAAGACTCAAGTAATACACCCAATATACAACAATGCAACTATACATGAAAAACAATAATCTCACAAACAAAAGTCCTACATTCAAAATTATAATATCAAACTTCTTCCCTACAGAATATACAACCGCGAGAAAGTCCAAGTTAACAT